ACCCCATGACGGGCGCCAGCCTCTCCAACAGGCTCAGCCTCTACATCTACACCCTCCTTAGCCGGTGCTTCCAGGGCTGGGGCACGTGGGTGGCCTCGTGGCCGGTGACTGTCCTGGGGGTGTCCATCTCCGTGGTGGTGGCCTTGGCAGGGGGCCTGGCCTTTCTGGAACTGACCACGGACCCCGTGGAGCTGTGGTCGGCCCCCCAGAGCCGAGCCCGGTGGGAGAAGGCGTTCCACGATCAGCACTTCGGCCCGTTCTTCCGAACCAACCAGGTGATCCTGACGGCTCCAAACCGGCCCAGCTACAGGTACGACTCCCTGCTGCTGGGGCCCAAGAACTTCAGCGGCGTGCTGGCGTCCGACCTGCTGCTGGAGCTGCTGGGCCTGCAGGAGAGGCTGCGACGCCTACAGGTGTGGTCGCCGGAGGAGCAGCGCAACGTCACCCTGCGGGACGTCTGCTACGCGCCCCTCAACCCGCACAACGCCAGCCTGTCCGACTGCTGCGTCAACAGCCTCCTGCAGTACTTCCAGAGCAACCGCACGCGCCTGCTGCTCACGGCCACCCAGACGCTGGCGGGCCAGACCGCCCCGGTCGACTGGCGGGACCACTTCCTGTACTGTGCCAAGTGAGTCCCAGGCGCCGCACTGGGCTGGGGGGCGCCGGGGGGCGGGCAGCGGCATGGCCTTCCGGAACCGGGCCAGGCCAGGCACCCAGTGGCCCAGGGACCCGCGTGGCTCCTGTCCTGGTCCCAGGGCTGCAGTGCACACTCCTTTCCCAGGCCTCGGCGGGCTCCTGCTCGCAGCCATCACGGCCTCCCCAGCCCACCTCCTCGGCCTTTCTGCAGAGCTCCTGACTCAGCAGCAGCGTCCGCGCGTGTTCTCGGTTTGAGGGTCACAGAGCAGCCTGATGACCCCGCTCGTGTGTCTGTTCCTCTCTCCTCTTTGCTTCTGGGCCAGTCTCTCAGGCCGGCAAGGACCGTGGACAGCTCATGAGGCTGTGGCTAGTCTCAGCCCCTGACTGCCTGGGCCGCATGTCCCTTGGTGGGCCATAAGCCCCATATCCCCACTGTTTGTGGTTCAGTCCTGGCTTTGTACGCTCTGCTATGGTGCGAACAGGGTGACAATGAGGCCGCGAGGGGCCTGGAGGGAGCAGGTGGGCAGGCAGGGGCTCCGGGGTTGGACTTGACAGAGGTCCCCAAACATCTGGTCTCAGGCCTGTTCACACTCTACAGAGAACTGAAGACCCCACAGAGCCCCGGGCTGGGCAGAGTGTGCGTCCACCGACATTTACCATGTGAGCAAGAAAAACTGAGATGTGAAAACAATACTAATTCTTTAAAAAAAACAGTAATAGGCCCATTACATGTTGACACAAATAGCATATTTTTATTAAAAATTATATTTCCAAACCAAAACATCAGTGATAAGAGTGGCACGTCTGCACATCCCTTCAGTGTCCTCGACAGAAGGTGGCCAGATGCGCACGGGCTCACGCATGAGATCGCTCGGCCCCGCTCCGTAGCGGAAGAGGGAGGTGTGATGCCCGGAGAACGGCGCGTCCGCCTCGCCCCTGCCCCAAACGCAGCCCGGGGCTTCCTTAACCGTTAGCTGCAAAGTGTTCTGGATGCCACATCAGTGAACTGCTTGCACGTCACACGCTCAAGAGCAAAAGAGAGTGAAAAGCAAAGAGCAGCGCGGTGTCATCCTGGAAACGGGTCCCCCCGCAGAGCCGCTCAGGGCCCCTGGTTAGTGGGGGAGCCTCGCTTGGGGGGCTTCTGGAGTCTGAGGCTTTATCTTGGCTCTGGACGCTCACGACCACTCGTGAGTGGTCCAATTATCCCCATTTCAAAGACAGGAAAACTGAGGCTTAGAGGGGGGTGTGACGCGCTGCTCAAGGTCACACAGCAACCAGCACTCCCAGGACAGCTGGTGACCAATGCACTCACTTGCCCTGAGTGCTTCATCCAGGTACCCAAGCTGTGCTTGCCAAAAAGGCTCAGTTGAGGGGTGTGGAGACTGGCCCTAGGTCCTTGGGCCAGCAAACTGTCCACGGAAAGGAGAGATCCAATTCCGGGGCTGGAGGGCTCCGGGCTGTGGGAGGCGGAGGCTGAGGGCAGTGCGAGGCTGGCTCGGCTGTGGGTAGTCAGGACTCAGGGGCTGTCCTGGCCCCGCCCCGGAGAACCATGGGTGTCAGTGTCACCCACCTGCCTCATTGGGGATGTGGCGATAAAGCCTGCAGGGTCCGGCTCGGGCGCCCCGGTCTGGGGAGCTCCGGCCATTGTGCATTGGGCCGCGTGAGGTCTTGTTGGGAGAAACAGTCTGACCAGGGGGTGAGGCTTTGGTGCTGCAGGCTGTGGCGAGCAGGGCGATGGGCGCAGGCCTGGAACGGTCCTTCCTCTCCCCCCAGCGCCCCGCTCACCTTCCAAGACGGCACGGCCCTGGCCCTGAGCTGCATGGCCGACTACGGGGCCCCCGTGTTCCCTTTCCTTGCTGTGGGGGGCTACAGAGGTAAGCTGGGCGGCCCCAGGGGAGGCTGCGAGGGGAACAGGGGGCCGGAGGGTGGAAGCTCTGACGGGCTTCTCTCTGCCTGGGGGTGGCCGGGCTGGCAGGGGCTGGTGGGAGGCTGCAGACCAGCTGGTCCTGCCTCCTTTCTCGGCCACCTCCTTTGTCTTCAACAGGGCTGTTCAGATTCTCTGGCCTTGCGCCTGGGCCCACAGGCCTGGCCTTTGGCTGAGAGAGGGAAGTGGGGTGTAGGGGTTAGATACTGACTCAGATGAGAAAGGTGAGGCTGGAGGAAGGAGGGGGCAGGGGTGCAGCTGGGAAGGGAAGGAGCAGGGGTGCAGCTGGGGGGACTATTTTATTTCACTCTCTTAACTCCTCTTACTGATAATGTGGACTTTAACATTCTGCTTGTTTTTTTCAACTGGACTCCTACTTTTTTACAGTTTGAGTTCAGCATCTACAATGCCTACCATAGTTCCTGAAAAAGTATGATTATCAAATATGTATCTCCAGGTAGAATTGTGAGGAAAATGGAAATTTGATAAAGAGGTATACCTAATATACTCTTTAGAAAGAATTCACCTTAAATACAAAGAAGCATTACTCCTAGTATTGCATTAATTACTATGCAAATATTTCTTTTTCATGCTGTAATCTACTCCTGAAGTATAGAAGATGGATTCCATGTGTGAGGGCCTGTTTTCACTGAAGTGAAGAATGGTTGGTGTATTTATGTTTTATAGCTAAATTACCTTCCTGTTTGGGTGCAGCTGGGGGAGGGGGAGGACGGGGGCAGGGTGCGACTGGAGGGTGAATGTCCCCCCTCCCCAGGGAAGGACTACTCTGAGGCGGAGGCCCTGATTATGACCTTCTCCCTCAACAACTACCCTCCTGGGGACCCCCGGCTGGCCCAGGCCAAGCTCTGGGAGGCAGGCTTCTTGGAGGAGATGCGAGCCTTCCAGAGGCGAACTGCCGGCACCTTCCAAGTCACATTCATGGCGGAGGTGAGGGCTGTGGTGTCCCAGGCTAAGGCACAAGACTGGTGGGTTCAGGTGGATCCCTGTGTCCCCCACCTGGCCCCCTCCTAAGTGTCCCTGGGCCAGGGCAGATGATGATGGAGCAGCTGTCCTGCCTTGCGGGGCCCAGGTGGGCCAGGGGTCAGCAGGCTGGCTCTGTGTGTCCACAGCGCTCCCTGGAAGATGAAATCAACCGCACCACGGCCGAGGACCTGCCCATCTTCGCGGTCAGCTACTTGGTCATCTTCCTGTACATGTCCCTGGCCCTGGGCAACTACACCAGCTGGCGACGCTTGCCGGTGAGCAGGGGGAGGGAGGGGCGCGGTGAGGGGTGTCCAGAACCTTCCCAATTAGAGCACCTGGCAGCGAAGGGGACAAACTGCAGTGGCTCCCTGGGACACCTGGAAGTGTCCATTCTGCTCCCCAACAGACCCCTCCTGTGAAACGCAAAGCTAACGTGTATAGTGCGTTGCAAGGTGCCACTTCCTCCAGCGGCGTGGGGCCAGGAGGCTGACCGCGTTCTGTTGCAGGTGGACGCCAAGGCCACGCTGGGCTTGGGCGGGGTGGTCGTGGTGTTGGGAGCCGTCATGGCCGCCATGGGCCTCTTCTCTTACCTGGGCGTCCCCTCCTCCCTGGTGGTCCTTCAAGTGGTGCCTTTCCTGGTGCTGGCCGTGGGGGCCGACAACATTTTCATCTTGGTTCTGGAGTACCAGGTAAGCGCCCGCCCCAGACACGCCTGTGTGGGCTCCCGGCTTTGCCCGTGCGCACTGATGCTCCTGGTCACCCATCCTGGGATGCAGGGCTTTGCGTTAGTCTTTCACGTAAACACATGTGCGCCGCGGGGTCACCGGGACGCCCTCCACGTGCCCACACACCCCTGATAAAGGTGTCATGCAGCACGCTGCAGACACCTCTCGCCCTCACGCTGCCATGCCACGCTCCGGGGAGATTGAGACCAAGTGGCATTAGCCTCTGCTCTTGGTGATCTTAGAGGTCCCAGCGATCACTGGGGCAAGCATGCGGTGGACACCCCAAAACATGCCCAGCACTCTTCTGGGCCAGACCCTGGGAAGCGGAGACGGGACGGCAGTGTCTGCAGGGTCTGCTCCGCCTGGGGAAGGTCAGCGGTGGCCATGCATGGGAGTGAGGGCGCGTTCCAGCTCCCTTGGCTGCCCTGGACCATCCCTGCTGTCCCCACACAGAGGCTTCCACGGAGGCCCGGGGAGCGGCCGGAGACCCACATCGGCCGAGCACTGGGCAGAGTGGGGCCCAGCATGCTGCTGTGCAGCGCCTCCGAGGCCATCTGCTTCTTCATGGGTGAGCCAGCGGCCCCACCCTCCCACCGGTCCGGCAGGCCGGGGTGCCGCTGCCCCTTCCCTCTGCTCCGCGATAGCAGCGCCCCGCCCTGAGGGTCAGATCTGTCTCCCTAGGGGCCCTGACCCCCATGCCCGCGGTGCGGACCTTTGCGCTGACCTCCGGCGTCGCGGTGATCCTCGACTTCCTGCTGCAGGTGTCGGCCTTCGTGGCCCTGGTCTCCCTTGACAGCAGGAGGCAGGAGGTAGGGGGCCTGCTCATCCCACCTTGGCGGGGTAGGGTGGCTTCACGTCGCGGAGGAGGCTGGGAGAGGGGGTAGGGGCAGGAACATTGTGCTGCAGTGTTTGGGCCATGGAGTCCCCAGTGTCCCACAGAAAAGTAATTTCATTTTGGTCATTATGGGGAATGTGATCAAACTTCCTAAAATATGTGAGATCGTGAAATAAATCATAAATCAGGGAGCGACTATTTCTGCGAGGGCAGAGGATTCAAAGGTATTTTTTCAAGGTAGAAATTAGAAACAAGGGAAGCAGCGCTCTGGCCTGTCCCCACGGTGCACGGGAGGGAGGTGGGCCCGGATCTGCTTTGGGGCCACCAGGAGGGGCTGCCTCCCGCAGGCCTCGCGGCCGGACATCTGCTGCTGCGTGGGCGCCCAGGACCTGCCGGCGCCCAGCCAGGGCGAGGGACTCCTGCTCCGGTTCTTCCGCAGGGTCTACACCCCGCTCCTGCTGCACCGTGTCACCCGCGTGGTGGTGGTGAGTGAGGCGGGAGGGCGGCTGCGGACCTCACACCCCGGGGCGGGGCCTGCTCAGCCTGACCCTCCCTGCCCAGTGGGGCGGATGGGACTCGCTGGCCAACTCCAGAGGTTTCCCGGGACACCAAACCGAACCAGCGGGGAAGCGGCGTGTGTGTGCGCCGGGCAGCCTCTCATGCCGCGGTCCCCTCCTTAGCTGCTGGTGTTCCTGGCCCTGTTCGGGGCGGGTCTCTACTTCATGGGCCGCATCAGCGTGGGGCTGGACCAGGAGCTGGCCCTGCCCAAGGTGAGGCATGGTGCGCTGTGCCAGGTCCCCTGGGAGGCAGGGAGGGCCTGCAGCACAGCGGGTGGGTCTGGCTGGGGTGCAGGACTGCTCCCCGGCCTGCGGCCTGCGGCCTGCAGAGAGAGCCTCATCTCCAGCCCCAGTCCAGGCAGAGTGACCAGCTGGCTGAGCTCCTGCCTTGTGAGGCCTGAGTCCCCGGGCTTGGTCTCCTGATAGACATCGGGGCGGGGCTCTGAGGAAGGAGAGGTTTGAGTGGGCGCAAAGCACTGTAGGATTTGTGGAGAAGGCAGTAAGGGCGACGGCACTGACCCCGGGGTGTGGGGAGGGGAAGGGAAACGTGCTGACCGCCAGGACCAGGCTGAGGCCAGCATGAATTGTCATACCTGCAAAATATAGATTTTTCACGTTATCTTTTCATTTTCGATGTCTAGTGTTAGTAATTCTATGACATCCACAGTGTTTTGCATCACGTAAAACAATGTGTTTTCTCTTCCTTACTATTTTCTTAATACTTTTCTTTAGTTTACTTTATTTAAAAACAATTTTTTAGTGTAAGAATACAGCATATAATACAAATAACATATTGGATATGTGTCAATTGACTGTTTATGTTGTTGGTGAGGCTTCTGGTCAACAGTAGGCTATCAGTAGTTACGTTTTGGGGGAGTCACAAGTTACACTGGGATTTTCCACTGCGTGGGGGGTGGCGCCCTGACTCCCTGCATTCTTCAAGGGGTGGCAGTATTCGCCTTTGCCTTACCAGGGGTCTTCATTTCTTCACGTGGCTGAGTTGCACACTAGCACCCTCTCACCCGCGGGGCTCCCTGGAGCATTCTTGCAGGGCGGGCTTTTCGGTGATGAACTCCAGCTTTTGTTCATCTTGGAATGTCTTAATTTCTCCCTCATTTTTGAAGGACAGTTTTGCCAGAAACAGGATTCTTGGTTGACAGTGTTTCTTCCTTCAGCTCTTTGAATATACAAACCTGTTGCCTTCTGGCCTCCAAGGTTTCCGATGAGAAATATGCTCATAAGCATATCGAGGGTCTTCGCATGTGGTGTCTTTGTCTTGTTGCTTTTAAAATTCTTTGTTGTTCAACAGTTGGATTGTGCTGTGCCCTGGTGCGGGTCTCTCAGTGTTTATCCTGCTTGGAATTTGCTAAGCTTTTTGGATGTTTAGAGTCACATCACTTTATGGTGTCCCGTGGGTCCCTTAGGGTCTGTTCACTTTTCTTTCGTTTTTTTTAGGGTCTGTTCACTTTTCTTTAACTATTTTTCTTTCTGTTCCTCACTTGATGATTTCAACCTCCCTATTTTCATGTTCGCTAATTCCCCTTCCGACTGCTCAAATATGCTTTCGAATCCCTATAATCAATTTTTCATTTCGTGATTGCACGTTTCAGCCCCAGCATTTATTTTTGGTTTTGTTTCATGTTTTCTCTTTGTGGATCTTTCCATTTATCCACACATTGTTCTCTAAACTTTGACCATATCTTATTCTTTTTGAACTTCTCTGAGACAGTTGTTTTAAAGCCTTTGTCTAGTACATCCACCATCTAGTCCTTCTCCAGTGTCTGTTGATTAATTTTTGTTCCTAGGTATGGGCCTTACTTTTACGATTCTCTTGGGTTTTTGTTGTTGTTGAAAATTAGACACTTGAATCTTATCATGTGATAACTCTAGAGACCAAATCCTCCCCTTCTCCGGGGTTTGCTTTCTTTTTTTATTTAATTGCTGCTGGCGTCCCTGCCCTGGAACTCAGCCTGGGTGCGTAAAGTTAACGTCCTGTCAGGTCTTTCCTGAGCCTCGCCTTTCCCTGGGCTTTCCTGGCGACTGTCTAAATTCTCATGTATTTGTAGTTGCTTTTGAATCGCCTAGTCCTTCCTTACATGTCTAGCACGCAAAAGGAGAAAAAGGAAAACAAACAAACAATAAATCAGGCACTTGCTCTTTACGTGTGTGGAAGTCACTTCAGCTGGAGGTGGTGGAGGTTACAGTGACAGCCTGACTCTGTGTGCACCGCTGACATCAGAAACAGCAGCCAGCGATCAGAACACAGACCCCTGACACGTGGAGACAGGGCCCTTAGGGCCCACCCTGGCTCCTGCACGCTAAGTGCAGCCTGCTCCTGGGATATGCGTGCCGCCTGCCGCCGTGCTGGGCTGACTGGGGTGGGGCGCTGCAGCCAGCTAAGAGCTGAAGTTGATCAAAACTAAGCACAGTTTACCAGCTGAGCCTTTCCCTGGACGTTCGAGCCCTCAGAACGCCCCAGAGTTCCAGGACAGCTCTACGAGACAGATTCTGCCAGCGCAGGTCTCGTCTGGGAGGGGACATGGGTTCCTGGGGCTCCCTGTTCCACCATCTTCCTTGATGTCACCCTCATGTTTTATGTGGTAAGAAAAGGGACAGGCCATAAAGATGCCTGGCACATGGCCTCAATGTGCGCACGCAGATTCTTACGTGTGTATAGCTGCAGGCTGTGGTCACAGACCAGCCCGTTAGATTGTGGCTGTGTCTAAGAAGGGGTAAATTACATGTATGTGCATGTTTGTGTGTGTCAGAGCGTGTTCCTGCAGGGAGGAATCTGTACTCTGTGCGTGTACCTCTATGAGGGTATTCTGCGCATATACCTGTGATTATACCCGGACGTGAGCACCTTGTAGCATGTAACTCTGTGGGTGCACCTTCAACCATGCGTTTCTGTAATGGAACTGTGCACATGCCTCTGTATGTGTACCCCGTGTGTGTACCTCTGTGTTCATGTGCCTCTGTGCGTGTGCCTGTGTGTGTACCTGTGTGTATACCGTTATGTATGTACCTCTGGGCACGTGCCTCTGTGCACGTGTATCTCTGTGCGTGTGCCTCTGTGCATGTGCCTCTGTGTACCCCATGTGGGTACCCCGTGCATGTGCCTCTGTGCATGTGCCTCTGTGCGTGCATCTCTGTGCACGCGAGCTGGAGGGAGCCCTCACGATGTGTCTGGTCCAGCCTCACTGACTGTTCTCCGCTCCAGGAC